TTAAGTTTGGTAGATAACAGTGGTCATCCACAAAGTAGGATCCAGTCTTCAAGTCATTCAGTCCTCAAAATATCCAGGAATATCAGCAATTTTACAAAAACAAAAATAAAAAGGATGATGCATACAAATTTACACACACTTACAGAATGGAAATCCAATTATAATATGTCTTTATTGTTATCTGTTTTCACTGCATTTTTGGGCAAGAAACACTAAGCGAGGAGTTGATCTCGCTGGTTCACTGAGGCTTTGTTTGCCATCAAAGTACAGTGCTTGTTGATCTCCTGCCCTAGTTTGCCCTTTTTTGCCCCATCCATGCATCCGTACTTACTCTAACTCGTAAAGCACCGAAACATCTTGGTAACTACACAGTTCTTGCAGTTTTGTTCCCTTCCGAATACAGCTCTTGCCTACAGAACTCTAATTCCTTCAACTTGCACTGTTTTTAAGGGACACACAAAAATTCAAGTGACTTTTACAAGATGTGAAGCATTATTTCGTTGACAAACAATATCCTCAAAGATCTGCTGACATAATAAGTGATGCTGATGTACAGACTGCTGTAATTATGGCAATAACGCCTCTGGGAATCCAAATGTATATCTTAAATTGCACTCTCTGCCACCAGCAAATGGTAGAAGAACAAAAATAGTAGCTCTTATTCCCGTAAGGATCTAAACAAAAATATGTGGGATGGCTTGTAGAAAATGACAAGAGTTTCAGAGAATTAACAAACACCATTCCCAAAGCTTTTCTTGAACTGTACTATACGAAAAAAAAAAAAAAGGGGACTTAAAAACTCATGTTAATTTCACACAGGACAAAAAAAAATCCATGTTTGCCGAGTGGAAAATATGAATCAAGATTAATAGAGAACTGCTATTTTTAAACTCCCTAAAAATATTACAGAGTTAAAAATGTAAAGTAGAAATTATTTTTATAGCAGCTGGCAATGTCCATTTAAGGCTGACAGTTTCTTGTGGATGAGTAGTACCATCTATCTCATGCAGCACCCACTGTTCCGAGTTTATTGCAGTATAACAGTATAATCAGATGGCTTTAAAACTCAGAATCTGTCCCTATTTTTGGCTTAAATCCAAGTTACAATTACAGTAAATGTACTATTTTTAAAAAAGAATGCTGCTGCTTATGTTTTTAACATAGTGATTTTGTTGTTTTCATGTTGCAAAACTGAAACTAGACTGGGATAAACACAGAGGGAAAAAATTAAGGCTTAAACCGAGTTTAATATGTAGCTCCAACTCACCATCACAAAGCCCAAGAGGCAGGATGTGCAATCCTGCATTCCTTACACACTCGTAATACCTCTTGGCTTCAGTGGAAGTTTTGTTTGAGAAGGCATATAATCAGAACCTATAATTTCATTAATTGCATACCACAGCCAGTCCATGTGAGGTAAGAATAATGAACCAAACCGGTTGGAAGGATGGTGGAACCCTCAGCCCAGCCTGCATCTTTGCAGACCACCGAGTCCACGCAGCAAAGCCATGAATCCTCCTTTTCCCAACTCACCCACGCTCCCAGCTCTTCCTCGCGACAGACCACGTCCGTCATGTAGAGCAGACCACGGTGCAGCTGCTTCATTCGGGGCACGGGACAGCTCTCAGGTCTCTGTCACTTTCTGCGTTACCGTCCTTCCCCAGACTCCCGGCAGTACCAAGGTTTTCACCCGATGCCAGTCCTTGCTCTGTGGGGATTTTCATACTATTCGTACCAGGCGCAGGCAAAATGAATGTTATGTAGCTATTACTACAGATTGCTTTGACATAATATATTACATTTTTCATTAGACATCCTTTGGACAAATTAGGAAGTATCACCTAAAAACCATGTGGATGGACTTGACTTTGACAGTATTACCACACACATAACTTTTTGATGCATACCATAAACACAAATGACTGCACTGAGCATGCGCTACAGATAGTTTTACAGTATTCCACAAGGTTTGTTTATACATGTAGGAAGAAACAGCATGAAACAAGAACCTCCCACGTTATAAAGGCCTTTTATTTGCTAAAGCACAAGCAAACAAAAAACACAAGCGCTTGCCAGCTCCTTTTTCTAAACATAAAACCACCTAACCCAATTCAAAAGGAAACCATTTGCAGGCTGAGGACTGGTAGGCCGTGTTACAGCGAGGGGCAAACCTACACTGCAGACTCAGCTGCAAACCGACATTTCGAAGTTCATAGCAGATACCTCTTCGTCTACAAAACCCCCGTTGCCTGTCTGTAGAATAAATTGAAAACTCTAGTTCATTTCTGCCTCTGTAACTGAAGACCACTCAATTTTTACAGCACCTAAATAATGACTCACTTACAGTGTCTTTTACAGCATCCTTACAACAATCTATCTTACTTTTGTTTGTCTGGTTTTGCTTTGTTTTGAGAGCATAGAGCATCACTCCCTAAACGATTATGAGGTCTTTCAGCAAGGGAAACCTGACTAACAAGACACATCACCTCACAGCTCTATACTAAAGAAAATATAGAAACATGTTTTCACTATTTAAAAAAGAACAAAATAGAAGGCAAACAAATGGAAGGTATAAAGATGAGGGTGACTGAGGAATAAGGAGGATGAAAAGAAAGGGAAGAAAAAAAGAACACAAGAAGACCAAACAAAAAAAAAAAAGGGAGAAGGAAACCCAAGACAATGAAAACAAATGAATTGTTGAAACTAGGGTGGGAGGAACTAAGGAATATAAATTTTTATTATTCTGATTACAAAATACATTTCAAAATTGGATGAAACACATTGTATGTATGTTTTGCCAAGGACATTCTTGGCAATTACAAAGTTAGGAAAATTACAATTCAATCAGTGAGGCGTTACTTAAAACCACTTGAAAAAGCAGACCATTTGAGCCATCGAACAGGCTGCGTGGGTAAAGATTTTAAAGACTCAACATTCTGGAGCAGCGCGGATCGCACTCGCATGTTGCACAGTGAGCCTTCCAACAGTGGGGCCATTAGATAAATAACAATTTTTCTCCCTAAATCTATTTCACCAATTTTTCGTCTCATAAATCACCAGTGAAGCCCCATCATCTTTTTCCATATAAAATGAGGGCAGTTCTAGTAAATAAAGTTCAAGCACTTACGCAGTAGAACTTTTGTTTAGCTGTAAAATCTGGTTTTAACATTTTACGGTGTGCAGCTCACGGCCACCAGACCACGTCTATGAAGATGGCTTCTGAGTTTATTAGACGCACGTGGGATGCTTTCCCGCGCACCGCACCTGCGTGCTCGCCTTGAAAAGGGCGCTGCCCTCCTCAGCGCCTCCGACAGCTACGGCCCGGAAAACGCCAAGAGCTACATCACAGCGCTTCGCTGTTGCACCGGCAAAACCCACAGCTAAACAGGTCGCCTTGACCTCTCCCACGTAAACTGTAATTTGGCGGGAACTGCTAACACCCAAAGAATGGGATCGACTGAAGGACGCGCAAGGCATCCACCGCTCCCGCTCAAACAGGTGCCTTCCCCGCAGCGAGGTTTATTTATGCGGAGCCACCACCCTGCTGCGGCCTTTACGGCTGAAAGGCGGCTACGCAGCCGGATTTTCACAGGACCGAGCAAGCCGGCCAC